CCCCAGCCTAGAGCACACGGTCCCATGACCCCAGCCTAGAGCACACGGTCCCATGACCCCAGCCTAGAGCACACGGTCCCATGACCCCAGCCCACAGCGCACGACCCCCAGACCCCAGCCCACAGCGCACGACCCCCTGACCCTCTTTACCTTCTCACGCAGCGCCTCAGGAGAAGTCCATTTGACAGGAAGCTTGGCTGTGTCCTGGGTGGAGGAGGCCTCTTTGGTCAGGCCGAAGTCGCTCACTTTGGCGATGTTGTCCTCGGAGACCAGGACGTTGCGGGCTGCCAGGTCTCGGTGGACAAAGTTGTTGGCCTCCAGGTACTCCATGGCCTCACAGACATCACTGTGAAGAGAGGAGAACTTCAGGCCACCATCCAATGGAAAGAAACTGCTCAACAGGGACAATACACAACCTTTCTAACTGCACAATGGCAACTTAGGAAACAGTTAATTCTGCAGTCATTGCAAGGTGAGGAAGCGCCAGAGTTCACACTGATTTGGGTGGGGGCTGATGAACTCCATGGCCACTAGCAAAGTACAAAAAGTGCAGAGTGAAAAGAAGAAAATAAACAATTTATATGTAGTGATAGACTGTGAAATTAATCTATACCACAACAGTTGAAAAATAAAAGCTACAGTCATGAGGAATACATTTCTAAACCTGGGTACTCAACTTTCATCAGTTTCCTGCACTGCTATGAGCTTCATGCAAAAACCGGGATATCCTACAGCAACACTGTGGCACAACATTCTCATACAGAAACATTAGGACTAGGAAACGTACAGGACAGATACCACATTATGCATATTTTCTACCCAAAAATGCAAACCAAGAGCTTTTAAATACCCAGACAGAACCTAAATGCGCCGCAATTCAGTCAACACAGATGTGCAGCACCGAGCTGCACAGAATATAAAATCTATATACGTCAACAGTATAAAACATAAGACAACAAAACAGGCAAGGTATCACTGGGGTCAAAGCGCCCTCCTTCAGCAACTTCCTGAATACAAAGACCTGATTCCCCATTGATTTTTTTACCGTTACAGAAATACTCACATTGAGAACTTGAGCAGACAGTCTCCTCCTAATACAGTCCTTCCTCTGGACCGCAGGTAGTCTACTAGGCTGCCCTGAGGGAAAGAGAAATTGCTCATACAGTTGGCAAGGCTCTCCTTCACTGGACTGCCCTAACAATGCACAATAGCCCCAACTTACTGCTTCTAAATTTGGAATCGCATATTTGTTAATAAAATCATCTTAACTTCTCTCCTGCACAGGAATAATGAGACCCTACAGAAACGTTTCCACCAACATGCTCACCTATCAAAGTCAGCCATCTTCTGATGAGCTGCAAGCTGGTTTAGCATCGACTAACATGCTGCTAAGGCCAAGGGGACCTAGCTAATTAACATTCACAGCCAGCTGTGCCCCACTGCTTGGGTGAATTCAGCAACGGCTGGCTAACAATGTGGCCCAGGGTCACACCTGAAACATCTGGACAGTGGGGCTCAGCTTGTGCTCCAAGCAGAACCCTTTCAGGGCTGGTGAGTGCTCTTATTGTTTGGACTCAACTTTGACCCTAGTATTGTTTGTAGAGTATGCTCTCCAATTCTTTTCTTAAATGAAAGATTCATCATTGGTAATTCACAATTGTAAGGGTGGCAAAGTGGAGTAATGGGGCTCTGGAGTCTGGATAGTCATGGGCTTTACCTGTGAGCAAGGTCACAGATTGCACGGCAAAGCCAGTCGCATACATGGGCACAACAGACATGGCTAATCACTGTTAGTCTATGGACCACCGAACAGTAAGTAGTATTGGGCCCTACTTTTATTTTTCATTGGAGTATCAAGCATGAATATCCTGTAGGAGCTGACTGTAGGGGAAAAAGAAAAGATTCTGCTAAACAAATGAGGAACGTGATATTTAGAGTTGGTTAGCTTCATGTAAAATACTGAAATTTTGAAAACTAAAAATAGTGTTTGAAAGCCAACGATTGCACTTCCTACTGAAACTGCTCCGCTGTAACATGATTAGTTGGGGGGCAATAGAATAGTGTCTTAAGTAAACACTTTAAAAAACAAAACGTTAACCATCATGTATCTCAGAAGAAGCATGTCTGCATCCTTTTGTGATGAGAGGCTGTGTGGTTGAGGGTCCTAATGGAAAGCCTGCAGAGCTCCGGTACAGCTACCCCAGCCATCCCCCCGGTCAGCCACTCACCTTGGCCATGTACTCTGTGACGATGTACAGGCTGCCCTTCTCCTCCACAATCACGCCCAGGAGCTGCACCAGGTTATTGTGCCGCAGCTGCCTGCAGGGGCACAGCAGCACAGTCAGCACAGCACAGTTCCGCAGGGTTGCCTTCTGCTCCTGCCCCTACCCCTAACACTGCCCCTGGTCCTGCCCCTACCCCCTACCCCTGCTCCTGCCCCTGTCCCTAACACTGCCCCTGCTCCTGCCCCTGCCCCTGCTCCTGCCCCTGTCCCTAACACTGCCCTTGCTCTTGCCCCTGTCCCTAACACTGCCCCTGCTCCTGCCCCTGTCCCTAACACTGCCCTTGCTCCTGCCCCTGTCCCTAACACTGCCCTTGCTCCTGCCCCTGTCCCTAACACTGCCCCTGCTCCTGCCCCTGCCCCTAACACTGCCCCTGCTCCTGCCCCTGTCCCTAACACTGC